TTTTAATTAATCGAGGATAAAAATCAAAGTAAACTTACAATAGCATAAATATTTTTTGAAAAATATAAGAAATTATTTTACACCTCGATTCTCTATATATAATCTACAATTTAATATTTTAAGACATGCCGTACTACAATTCATTTCATTGACAAATTTATCTATTCGGTTAGAAAATGTCTATGAAAGTGTATCTAATAAGCCAAAATGCAGCTAAAAAAGTAATTTTTAACTAAACTATTATTAAATGGGAAGTCAAATTAACTTTCGTGTTTTTTGTCTTTTTTTATTGATAAAACTACACGAAAAAATTAAAAGGAGCAGCAAAGAAAAAAGAAGGAAACATTTAAATAATGCTGACATTTGAATAGACCATTCGCATATAAATTAACCCTGTACCTAATATCATGACTTCGTACAAATTGGCGCTGCGGATAAACAGCGCTATTCACGAGGAAATAACAAAAATAACACCCAAGTACCATTTATTCCAGTTGACTCTCCGATGTTGAAATTCCAGTGACTTTTAAATTAATTACTAAATAAACAAAGAAAGTGTGAAATTCAACCTACGATTTTGTAGATTAAATTAGTTTTCATGATTTAGAACCAGTTCCCCGTAAAACATGACGAGAACGCCATTGAAAACACAAAAAATGTAACTTCAGAGTCAGAATCAAAACTCCAAAATAATAATAATAATAGGATAACAAATTACAATGGCATAACTGTAAATGCTACCCCATCCACAAGTATTCTGAGGCGATAGGTCAATGAAAAAAGAAAAGAACGGCATTTATTAACTGAGACAGCGGGTGATTCTATCTACGGAAAGATCATGAAATGCGATAATTATTATTTACTCGTAAGACGGAGTGTGCGATAGACTCATCTCCACGTGGTGCACCCTGGGCAACATTTACTCATACGGCAAAAAAGTCTATCACACACCCCACTGTATTAATATTGTCGAGTACAAATGTGGAAACACAATTATCAACGATCCAGTATCTGCAAACTTCTTTTTTAGGAGGCTGGAAATTGTAAATTCTGTTTTTAAGGTTATTGATTTAAAGTTGAAACTATATTTTTCAATTTTTGCCATATTTTCATTGGGGGGTTTTCTGTAGCCTAACTGAAGTGATAAAGCTGTCGTTAACCCAGACAGGCTTCTGTTTATGCAGGTTTGTTTACCCTTTTTTATACGATGAAATGGTGTACTAAACAGCCAAAACGCTGAGCCCAAAATGTAGTTAAGAAATTGATTATTGCGGGAAAAATGTTTATGCAAGAAAGGAGGTTCTTTTAGTCCTTATATGAATCCAAGAGCAGTCTTTTGACCTAAAACCTTTGGGCCAATATAGTTGCACGATGTTATACACTTTAAGTCTAAATAAGCCCTTTAGTTAGAGTAATACTTGAGTTATTATCATTTTTTTGTAAATCTACATATTTTTCCCCCATTTGAGTCGTAATTCGAAAAGTATGAAATGACCTTGAGCGCAGCACTTATGTCGATATTAGTAGGCGCGTACTCGGTGTTTCAGGTACACCACACTGGCCTATCGGGCTCCTGAAATGGTTGATCTATACTCTGGGATAGCCCTTGGACCACCGGTTGACATTTGGGCTCTGGGTTGTGTACTCTATGGCCTCTGCTTCTTTGCCCTTCCATTTGGTTCTGCCTCCGCCCTCGCTATCCAAACCGGCCGATATACTCTCCCCACATCTGCCCTAACTTCCTACTCTCCTCAATTGCTGAAATTATTACGTGAGCTGATTTCGATACAACAAGGAATTATTATTGAATAAAACGGAATGATAGATTCTTACAGGCTTTTGCCTCTGGTTATTCAAGTTTTTTACGAGAGTGTTACTGAAATGATGTTAGTAGTATTTAAAATCTAATTCAGTTGACCTATTTTGGAAATATCCTATCTTGTTTATGAAAACGACAATTATAATTGTAATAATTTCAGATTACATGCTGACAGTCTCCGCTGCTGAACGTCCGGATATTTACCAGGTGTCGGCTCTTACATTTTCCCTTCTCGGTCGACCTAACCCTGTTCTCAATGTAAATGTGCGTCTTCTGAGTTATTGACTCTTTTCATTAATTTGACATAATTTAAGTGGAACTAAAACGGAAAGGCGCTTTCTGAGTTAATGTTATTTCCTTTGCATTTGTTTAAAATACTGCATTAATTAATCTGTATAGTCTACTTAAATGGCAAATTTGTATCCGTTTTGTAGTCCGCAAACGTTCCAGACTGGCAGAGC